GGGGGGGGGGGGGGGGGGGGGGGGTGGGGGGGGGGGGGGGGGGGGGGGGGGGGGGGGAGGATCAGTGGTCTATACTTAATCCGAAACATAATGGCTCTCCAAAACGGCAACAGTGGCATTTTCCCCCCAGCCCTTTATTAATATCGTGTAGTAAGTTTTACCCCTTGAAGTTACATTTTCATTTTTACTGACTTAAACCATATAAAATACTTTTAATTTCTAGTGTGGTTATAGTTTTATGGTTTTCAATTTATTTTTGATTTAAGATTTTTTATTTTCATGTAAGCAATCTACATTCAAAAATCAGAGCTACAGAAACATGAGGACCATTGGAAAATAGACACAGGCAAATATCCTGGGGAGCTGGGTATTACATATGAACTATGTGCTGGAATAGTTGACAAGGATAAAAACCTGGATGTCATTGCACAAGAGGAAATATTGGAGGAATGTGGGTTCCAGGTTCCATTAGAGAAACTGCAAAGAATAACCTCATATAGGTGAGAGCACTCACAAAAATATATATTTTCATGTTATTATGCTTTTCAGTCATTTAAAAAATTTTCATAAGAATATTAAAATAAGTATAACGGGTTTTTAGAGAAACTTGTCATTTAATCAGTTCATACTACTGATATTAATTGTGTCCACATTTCATGAGACATTGCCTTTGATAGATATTGCAAAAATATATATCTAGGACATTTGTAATGTTGTGTCAGATCAGGTGAAGGCACCATAGGAGCGCAATTGACTCTATACTATGCTGAAGTCTGTGAAGAGGTTCGGATAACTGAAGGAGGTGGCAACTTAGAGGAAGGAGAAATGATTGAATTAATAGAAGTACTACTGAAAGACATAAAACATTGGATAATGAATGAGAGCATTTCAAAACCAGCAACTCTGATGTTTGCAGTGATGTGGTTTCTTGATAATAAAACGTGTGACACAAATTCTTCATCATGACAACTGTTTGATGCAAACTCTTCATCATGTCCACATATTATGACTCAAGCTCTGCATCTTGACAACTGTATGACATATTCTCCATCATGACAATTGCTTGAAACAAGTACCACAATCACAGGAATGTTTATCAAGTTTTTGTAAACAACATCCTGATATTCCTTCCTCTGTTCCTTGCAGGTCAGGGGTTGGGACCAATGGAGCATTACAGACAATTTTCTATGCAGAGGTGACAGGTGAAATGCGTGTGACAGAGGGTGGAGGCAATCACCACGAAGGGGAATTAATCGATGTCGTGGAAGTACCAGTCAAGGAAAGCAGACGCCTCATTTTAGATGATGAAAATGTCACAAAGCCAGTTGGTCTCATGTTTGCTTTGTTGTGGTTTTATGAAAATAAGCATGGGGCTTGTTCCACATGACACAGTGCACAAGTAATTTAGTACTACCTCCTGAAACTTGATGAAAATGAGCAATAAAATATTTGTAGATCTAATATAATTTATTTAGCATCATACAGAGTACCAAAATGTTCTACTACATGTACTTTCCTTACAGAGTTCCACAATTCTGCCCTTATTTGTAAAATTGTCATTAATTAAAAAATTGTTTTTCATCTTTTATGGCATCGTGAGTTGCTAAAAATCTGCTTTTCACTATGGAGAAAAGTCAGTGATGGTAATGATTTTTGAGGTACTCATATGTAAACTTTTGTAGACAATCTAAAAATCCGGAAGCTAATTGTCACTGACACTTTTAATCATTCCACAGTTTCTATTTTCGTGTATGTTTATCGGTTGTTTTTAATACGAAACTTGGCAATGAAAATAAGAAATATATTGTCAATAAATGGCATTAAATCGGATATATCCTTTCGTCTTACGATGTATTTCTGTATATTAGTAAAAGAGATAAGGTTCATACAGTAGTTATACAATTATAGTTGTGGGGATTGTAATCACCATTGTGAAAATAGTGCATGCCCCCCCCCCCCACCCCCACCCCCAAGGAACCGAGGTGTGTACATGTAGTCCCTAGGATCCACTGTCCTATCCAACTAGATTCCCAGCAGAAACTCAAATTCTACACAATGTTTGCGCAATAAAAGATTATTATTTCAAAGTGATAAATTTGTTGGGAGGAAAGGAGGATCTGAGGTGGCCGCGCATAGGCAGTTACTAGTAAATCTGAATCGCGTACGCACAAGTGCTAGAAGAGCCATGTCATACAATTGCGGGAACAGCTTATTAAACAGCTGAGCCCATGTGACCCTTAAAGGGATAATAACTCTTCGTTTTGGCCAAAAAAATTAATTTTCCTGAAGTAAACAACAATTTTACCATACTTACCAATGGTTAAATGAATCCATTTTTACATTCAAAGTTAGTCCCTGGTTTTTTTCTAAAAAGTTTTTTTTTTTTTTTTTTTTTTTTTTTTTTTTT